CCCTTCTGGAAAGCGCCGTCACTACAAAGCCCATCGTCCCCACCGCGGCCCCTGTGGGCTGCGGATTCTGGGCAAGGCAGTCTCTCTCTTTCCCCCCCAAGGACTTTGGATAAACCTCCCCTCCTTCGTCTTCCTCTCCACGGGGCGAAAGTCGGGGTGCGTCTCCTTCCCAATTTGTATTTTCGTTTAATCCTGGCACCTCTGAGCGTGTGCAGAGCGCCCTTCGCGGACCTACGCGTGTTGGCGCCGTCCCTATGGAGCAGGGAGAGAGAACCCCTGTTTTGCTTTATTTTGCCCCCTTTCTTTCCCGCAGGAGAGGCTGTGTTGCTTACAAGAACCGATTTTTACGCTTGACTTTTCAAAAATGTTTAAAGTCTTTGTTTTGTTTTGTTTTTTAAAGAGATGTGCCACTTTCAAACAATGTTTGTTATTGTTTTTGGCATCTCCGGCCACCCCAGCCCTTGCAGAACAACAACAAATAAAATTTTTCAAAGAAATAAATAGTTGGCTTGTTCTTAAATAAAACGAGGGCAAAGTCAGCCACTATTTTGCATAGATCCTGTTTCCACCTGCTTTTTCCTGCTGACAATGTACGTATATTAAAATACAGCTTGGAAACATTTCCGTTTTGGACTACAGCATCCAGAATCCTGCAGCCACCATGGTTGCGGGCCATGCTTTCCTGGGGCAGCCTGGGAGATGTAGTCAAAAAAAAGAGGGATACTTGCCAAGTTGAGTAGAAATACAGTTACCCAATGAGACAAAGAGCCGTCCATTTAGGTGATGAACTGGATTCTAATCCATCAAAAGGCTGATCCTGAGTATAATTTATTAGTCTGTATAAGTTGCCCTAAGATATTTGTTTCTTGATATTGTAATAAGCAAACAGCAGCCGAACCCTTTTCTTGGATATTTTTTGTGTGGCAATTTGTTTCTGGGCATGTGCAAAGTGCATTTCAGTTCCTCAAACAGAAAAAAACCTTTCGAAAGAAAGAAAGAACTGCAGTGTTATTTCTGTTTCCATAGGACAGGGGTAAATGCACTTCTAGATCTTTTGTGCAATGGCACTCACAATCCCATGTCTCACTTGTGTGAGACTAAGCCACACTGAAACTAGTGGGAATTACTTTTGATTAGGCACACTAGTGTAAGACTCCTACAAGATTAGGCAAAAACAGGTCTTATTGTATAGGACAGTGACAATGGACAACCTTTTCCCTTTCTTTGAGAAGTATTAATCAGCATTATGGTCTAAGAAATGCCAGCTAGATTCAGAAAAGAAAGAGGTACTAGAGATCATACCGCCAAGACAGATAGGTGACTGGAGCTACCAAAGAATTTCAGTGCAGAGGAGTGAGTCTGTGCTGTATAAATTACAAGAATTTGACTGTGGATGATGGAAAGCTGTGGATCCTTCTAAGAGAAATGGATGTGCCACAACATTTGATTACAGAAAAAAAAAGAGAATGGTTTTCCACTGAAAAATGTGTCAAACAATTATGTGTTTTATCTCCCTCAATAATCATGCGCAGAGCATATCATATGAAAGGAGGATTGCCTTAACGCATAAAAAAAGAAAGCCTGTAAGTTGTTCTTGCCCATTTCTTGGGAAAGAAAGAAAGAAAGAAAGAAAGCCTCGCAGGTCCATCAAAATCTGCTGTCTGAGGCTACTGCAATTTCTTGGGAAAGAAAGAAAGAAAGCTTGCTACCCTCGCAGGTCCATCAAAATCTGCTGTCTGAGGCTACTGCCTCAATCTGCCTAAGTTTGCTACCCTCACAGGTCCATCAAAATCTGCTGTCTGAGGCTATTGCCTCGATCTGCCTAATGATAGGGCTGGACTCATAGGTGAATCCTGGAATGTGGAATAAAGAAGGGACCATTGGCTAATTCCTTTGCAGCCATCCAAAGGAATTAGCCACAGATGAAGAGCCCATGCCAGCTCAGTGGGGTGGCTCAACAGGGCAAATCAGCCCATATGGCGTGGCGTACCAGCCAGCTATACGCAAAGTCTCTTCCAGAATTTGAGTGGAACATATTGCAAATAATGTTGTTGCTTGTAAAGAATTATAATTTTCACGTAACCAGAATCAGCACCTTTTTTTGCACATGCCAGCATGTTCACTGTAAGCACTGCAATTTAGACATAATCTATATTGTGCATTTACTTGATATTGCAAAAACAGTACTTTGGGGGTTAGTTAGGCTGCATTAGCCGTTTTGGACCATTTTTCGATAATTATAAAAATCCTGGTGTCTCAACAGTGGCTGCAATCCCATCGTCAGTCGCAGCCAGAGTAGGCCCATTGAATCAACGAAACTTACAGAGGGGTTACTATTGCTTGTGCTTATCATTTCTCAGAGTGGTATTTGTTCCTTTTTAATATCTGTATACATCTTGGTTTTAGTTTTAAATATTGTCTTTCAATGATGAAAGCTACCTTGGGCAGTTTACAAGCTAATTATGCATGCTACACATTCCCCCCTGCCCCCCAAAAAGCAAGCTGGGTACTCAATTTACCAACCTCAGAAGGATGGAAGGCTGAGTAAACCTTGAGCCAACAAGCTGGGATTGAACCCAGGGGATGAGCAGAGTTTCAGCTGCAGTCCTGCAGTTTAACCACTGTGCCACAAGGCTCTTGATACGGAGTATCAAGCACTCCATTAGTCCTCACGTCATTCCCCCTGCTCCCCAAAAAGCAAGCTGGGTACTCAATTTACCAACCTCAGAAGGATGGAAGGCTGAGTAAACCTTGAGCCAACAAGCTGGGATTGAACCCAGAGGATGAGCAGAGTTTCAGCTGCAGTCCTGCAGTTTAACCACTGTGCCACAAGGCTCTTGATACGGAGTATCAAGCACTCCATTAGTCCTCACGTCATAATAATTAGCACCAGATGAGTATTAACATGCTCCATCTTCGGATCACCTTCCCAAGGCCTGCTCTCTTCCACACCCTTACATTTTGGAACATCAGATATTCTCCTCTCCCTCCGGTTGGCTTCCACTTCTTTACTCCCAAGGGGCTTGTCTTCTTCGTGGCTGAGACTGAAACGTCCAGGAAGATGAAAGGCAGCTGATGATTCAAGTTGCGGCAGGAATCTCAGAATGCCAAAAGCGAATGTTCCTGCCCGAAAATTAAACAGACACCAGCCTTTGTTAATGGCCTTGATCTTGCCACATCTGAACAACCGGAGGTGCGGTTGCTACGGCTCGGCCCTTCCCTCTCCTTGGTAAAGTCCTCATTCCGCACGTCATGTTTACAGGCTCTCCCGTGGCCATTATTCCAGGGCCCTGGGGGTGTTCACACCACAGATTATTTCTGTTTTCCAGTAACGAAAGTCTCCTTAAGCCGTGTGTACTTTGTGGGGCAACTGATGTCACTCTTTTGCAGTGTGCTGGCAACTGCTCAGTTACATCCGTGGCTCAGCGGTTGGGAGCACCCCGGAGCCAGGAGTTCGAATTCTCACTGGGCCTCCCGGAAAAAGAGACCAGCCAAGATCACTTTTAGAGCATGCATGGCTGACACAGAGCCCCTCCAGAGACCCCAGAAGCTGTTGCGTGCCTTCAAGATGGAACCGACTTACAATATGACTAGGGCTTTCAAGGTAGGTGAGATATTTAAGGAGTGGTTTTATTAGTCCCCACGCTCCCCATGAGTTTCGGTGGCTAAGTGGGAGGATTCGAATCCAGGCCTTACGAGTCGTTTATCCATAACACCACCCTATGTATTCCAGTAAAAATCCTGCAATACGCTAAATTGTTTTTTTCCCTCCTAGTTCTGCTTCAGAAGACACTGAGCTGGGCGAAGCCCTCCAGGTCCGTCTCGCTGGACGATGGGGCCTCTGACTTCTGCCCCACAACTCTGTATGGTATCACCATAGGGGTGAGGGTGGGGGAGGTTGCTTTTCTGAGTTAACCTTGCAGTGGAAAATTTCCGCCTTACGGACACATTTTGTGGAAAGTTACATGCTGCTGCGGCCGGGTGACGATAATAGAGGGATGTGAGGCAACTACACTCTTCCCCCCCCCCAGTTATATTTCCAGTAAATCCAGATTTTAGGCGATGCTTTATCGAAGTCAAGGAAACGGCAGCAGCATTAGCTCAAGGACGAAAGCGAAATTACAGTCTGATTGATGCTGGCAAATATACTGTATGATCACAGCATAAAAACGTGCATTTTGGTCAGACCCACGGAATTCTGAGCACCGTCATGTACTGCTTAACAGCCGTGTGGACGTCATCGGCCAAAATGCCCCAACCGGCATGATCACAGTATTCTCGGAGCTAAGTAGTCCAAAATGAGACATTTTTCACCTCCGTCCTTTATCAGACTTTGCTCAGACAATAAGAGTTTTTCCGTAAAACTGCACACATTTACCTAGGATTCAAAATAATAGCTCTGTAGCAGGAGCAGAAGTGGCCTCGGTTTAAGATGATGCCTCTTAACACGGGAGTCCCAACATGTAACAATCAGGAAAGCTGTAGGCAACTGGCCGAT